CCAAAATATTCTATGGCAGGAAATATTTGGCTACCCAAAGCTTTGCCTTCTGTAAGCATTTATCACAGGTGACTAAAGGTGAGAATTTAAGTAATTGTTTATCTGTGGCAATAATCATGACTGCACTTAAATTTAATCACACCAGAGACCCAGTGTCTATTCCCATCCATAAGAATCTGTCCCCTGAAACCATGGCCAGTAGTCAGGGAGGCAGAACCACTGTGAATTACGAGACAAGGAATTTATTATAGGAATCAGACCTTACGCTATTGTGGAAGGAGCTGGAGAAGTGAAAGACCAGGAGAGCAGTAAGAGATCAGAAAAGGGTCCCCAATGTGGGAAATGAAGTACACCTAGCCACTGACACGGGACTGTGATGGGAAAGCTCGTGGAGAACTCTGAGTAGTTGCCACCTCCATGGTTTCAACAGGGTCAGCCACTGGAAGGAATTTCTGGACACTGGTCTGAGCAAAGCAAGGACAGGTTAAAGCTAACACTTTTTTTTTTTTTTGAAACAGAGTCTCACTCTGTCACCTGGGCTAGAGTGCAGTGGCATGCAAACAGCTCACCACAACTTCAGACTCCTGGAGTCAAGTGATCCTCCAGTCTCAGCTTCCTTAGTAGCTGGGGCTACAGGTGTGTGCCACCACGCCTGGCTAATTTTTCTATTTTTAGCAGAGACAGGGTCTCACCCTTGCTCAGGCTGGTCTCGAAATCCTAGCCTCAAGCAATCCTCTTGTTCAGCCTCCCAGAGTGCAAGGATTTTGAGCACCATCCCCAGCCTAGAGCTAACACTTCTGTCACCACATCTAACCACAACAACCTTCAGAGAATAACACTTGCTGCTTCATTTCAGCCTTCCAAATCTCACACAAATTCCTCCTTTGGGCAGCTCTAATCTGAAACCATTCAGGGAAAGGGATTCTGGGAAAGATAGTTCCAGCTTTACCACGTTCACCTAATACAAACCACAATAATACATAATATGTGAACTTGGACTGTATCCTGGATTGTGAAAAAAACAACCGATTGAAGATATTTTAGGGAAAATGGGATGATGTTTTATATTAATTAGCTATTAGATGATTAAAAGGGATTAATGTTAATTTTTATGTTTGATAATGGCATTGTGGTTAGGTAAGAGAATGTTATTCTTAGGAGTTATGTTTAAATATTTAGGAGCAAACTTTCAAATGGTTTAGCATTTATATGTTTATATCACACACTAAGTGAATATGGCAAAATGTTAACAACTGTTGCATCTAGGTGGTGGATCTGCAGATGTTTCAACTTTTCTATATGTTTGAGAATTTTTTGGGGGGGTACACAGTATTTTAACTTTATTAAATACAACAAAAATAATTTGTTTGCAAAAGATTCCCATCTCCCCAACTTTGTTTGTCACTTCCATTTTCAGAAGTTTTAATCTTAAAAAATGATATAACTTTTCTTTTGGAAGTTGTACATTTTTCTGAGCAATAACTAAAATCTATTTCTCTTTGGTTGTTGAGGTGTATTAAATAGGAAAAAGATAATATCTTCATCTCCAACAATATATTCTGTACCTTGTTGTCTATACTTTCCAGCAGCCTTGACTGCATTTTCAGAAACTTCCTCTACAAAATCTCCATCTTTCATTACTTCAGCCATAATGAATCCCTTTTCAAAATCTGTGTGAATCTTTCTTACAGACTGAGGAGGCTTTGTCTCTCTCCTGATGGTCCATACAGGCACTTCATCCGGGCCTACAGTGAAAAACTATTCTACTTGGAGTGCTGTAAATGATCTTTGGCAAATCCTCAATGATCTTTGGCAAAGCACTTTGTGTCATATTCACTTCCAGATACTTCTGTCTCTCCTCGTCACTCAGTTCTTGCAACTCCAGCTCCAAGGCCCCACTAAAAGGAATGAACAAGGCAGCTTGCTCATACCTGTCCACTCACTCTTTAATTTTTATCAACCATTCGCTTTTCTTTCTAATGTCAACTTTTTCAGAAAGATTAACCAAGTAGACCATTGGTTTTGAAGTAAAAAATAAGTGTTTATTCAATACTTCAATCTCTTTGTCATTCCAGTCATGATAGAAGCGAACAGGTTTCTTTTGATCTATCACCCAGGATTTGACTTTGCACATTCTATCATATTCAGGTTTTAGTTTTTTATCTCCTCCTCTCACAGTCACCTTTTCTAGTTTATAATGGGCCCAATCATGTCCTTGTCTTTAAGCTAAAGCCCTCTTTACTCCCCTCAGTGGAGAAACAAACAAACAAACAAACAAACAAAATAAGCTGAAGCTCTTCATATATTATTTCTATATCTCAAATAGGATTTATACTTCCTTCAAGTGTAGCATGATATTATCATCTTCAAAAGCGCCTTTCATCTGGCACAGGTACTCTGCTCTCATTAGGATCAACAGTGCCGAGTGGGAAGTTTTCTGCTGAAGCCTGACTATTGGTTAATACATTGAAGAAGGTAGATTTTCCAACAATGGTTGGGACTGTTGGCAATCCAACGGTACCAATTTTCAGTGAGGTTCCAAATCTTCCAATGATTGGGGGTGGTTTAATTCCATTACCTCCGTTATGAGGGGCATCGTGCTTGGGGTGGGTGATGACACAGGGTCCCAGCAGCAGTGACAGACGGGTCCTGCCAGCAGCTGGAGTTGGGAGGAAGGAGGAGAGAGCCCAGGCCTGGCCCCTCCATTGAACAACACGCACTACAGTGGGAAGCATCCTTTTTTTTCAAAGATAGGGTCTCACTCTGTCGCCTGGGCTAGAGTGCAGTGACATCATCATCGTTCACTGCAACCTCAAACTCCAGTGTTTACGCGATCCTCCTGCCTCAGCCTCCTGAGTAGCTGGGACTACAGGCACGAGCCACCATGCCCGGCTGATTTTATATTATATATATTAGTTGGCCAATTAATTTCTTTCTATTTTTATGGTAGAGACGGGGTCTCGCTCAGGCTGGTTTTGAACTCCGACCTTGAGCAATCCGCCCGCCTCGGCCTCCCAGAGTGCTAGGATTACAGGCGTGAGCCACCGCGCCCGGCCTGAATTTTTAAAATAATAATGTGACAGGGAAAATAAAAGATTGCTCTAGATTCTTATCTCCTCTGGAGGCCTTTCCTACCCACCTCCTGTTACTCCGTTTAAGTTGGTTCCGTCCATTCTTTTACTCTCCAAGGTAGAGCTCTAAGGCATTTATCATGCTGTACTGTGATTTCTTGGTTTCTGGTCTCTTCCGCCTCTAAACTTTGAAGTCCTTAGAGGATAAAGATGCTGTCTTTTTATTTTTATTTTTTTTGAGACAGAGTCTCACTGTTGTTTGGGCTAGAGTGCCGTGGCATCAGCCTAGCTCACAGCAACCTCAAACTCCTGGGCTCAAGTGATCCTCCTGCCTAAGCCTCCCCAAAAGCTGGGACTACAGACATGCACCACCATGCCTGGCTAATATTTTCTGTATATTTTTAGTTGGTCAGCTAATTTCTTTCTATTTTTAGTAGAGATGGGGGTCTTGCTCTTGCTCAGTCTGGTCTTGAACTCCTGAGCTCAAACAATCTGCCCGCCTCGGCCTCCCAGAGTGTTAGGATTACAGGCGTGAGCCACTGCGCCAGGCCAAGATGCTGTCTTTCATCGCTAATTCTCCAGCATTTATTCCTGTGCCTAGCACAGAGTAGGTGATCCATTCATCCTCAGTCAGTCAATAACAGAAGAAAGTCTAATTTAGGAATTTTCTTCAGGGCTACCTCTGAATTCAGGTTCAAGTGAATCTAAGGGGAGTAAAAGTTTTGAGTTTATTTTTGTTTCAAATTATGAAAGTAATGCATGCAAATTAAAATAATTAAGAATCAAAGTAAAAAAACAAAATTATTATTTCATTCCTGTCTTAGACACACTCTAACCAGAGTCAAGAGTTCAGCATATATCCTTCCAGAATTATTTCTATGCAATTATAAATGTGCACACACACACACACACACACACACACACACACATACACAATCTCTCTCTCTCTCATACTACTATAAATGTTGTTTGGTGATTTCTTTTTCAATCTAATAATATATCACAGAGTTTACCAAATCAGTGTATAGCTCTGCATCATTCTTTACATAGGCTACATAGTAATCCATTGTGTGGATGTGTGTTAATTTTTTTAACTATTGCATTTGAATGAGCATGTAGATAGAGGAGCAGTTTCTACATGAAACCAGTAGCCTAGAAAAAAAGAGACGTGGCAACTCCAGTAATCAGACAAGTAAGACTAGATTAGCCTTGAACCTTGAGTACCAAGTCAGGGTAAACTGGCAAGGAAGGGACTTTACCAAGCGTCTCAGCTTATAGAAAGTCTTGGCCTATTCAAGGAACAAAATAGAGAGCACAGAAGAGAAAGATCCAAGCGTGAAACTGCATGGAGCCAATTGACAAATGTGGGACCCTCTGAGCACCTAAGCTGTGTGCACTGAGACACCTTCCCACCGTGATATCGCAGTCTCTGCATCCTGACGCAGCCCAGTGTGGCCTGCACACACCACAGCCTGCAGGGAACAAGTGAGAGTGGCCAGCGCATGGGCCTGGTTAATCTGGGAAGAGAAAGTCCCACTGGTTTCCCAGTGTCAACAGAAAGTTGCCCAAGCAAGTGTGGATGAAATCTCACTAATGTTTCTAGGGCTGGCCGGTCTCATCTTAGGCGCCCCCACCGCTTTAGATTTCCCCAGCCATTTCTCATGCACAAAAACAAGCCTCTTTCGCCCTCAAACCCTCCCTCCTTTCTGAGAGTCCTCAGCCACCCCCACTGTCCAATCTCATTTCCCTCTTAGTTTCTAGTACCCATCTGTGTTCCACTCAGACTGTCACTATGTCAACAAAAACATGATGGACCACACTGAGACTATTAAAATGGGTTGTAATATCTCCATGGTGTTACCTATTCCAAAACAGAACACGAACCCCTCCATGTCAATTTACCTTCACTGCCACATAGGAAGTGTGTGTGGCCGGGCGAGGTGGCTCACGCCTGTAATCCTGCCCAGGATGTACCAGGCAGGCCTTCCGCTTGGGTAGGACCCCGGGGGCTGAGCTATCTCAAGAGGCCAATCAACCCCAGTGTAGCAGGTTAGCAAAGACCTTGTTAGTTACTGGCTGACTAGTTGGCCAGAGCTAAGCTGAAAGAGAAATCTCCAAGTGTTCTGCTACTTTCTCTGCTTGGCAAGAAGAGAAGGAGTGCAGCTTGAAGGAGCGGGGAATGTCAAGTTGATGAGAAAACGGTAAGAAAATAAACATTTCTCTAGGTCGGGCGAGGTGGCTGACGCTTGTAATCCTAGCACACTGGAAGGCCGAGGTGGGCAGATTGCTCAAGGTCAGGAGTTCAAAACCAGCCTGAGCAAGAGCGAGACCCCGTCTCTACTATAAATAGAAAGAAATTAATTGGCCAACTAAAAATATATAGAAAAAATTAGCCGGACATGGTGGCGCATGCCTGTAGTCCCAGCTATTCGGGAGGCTGAGGCAGAAGGATCGCTTGAGCCCAGGAGTTTGAGGTTGCTGTGAGCTAGGGTGACGCCATGGCACTCACTCCAGCCTGAGCAACAAAGTGAGACTATCTCAAAAAAAAATAAGTGTGTGTGCTGGCCCAGCCTGCCACCAACAGCAAGCATTCCTACAAACACAATAAATAGTAATGAGTTTATATGCACAGTTTACTTTATATAAATCCAGTGAGTGGTGATCAAAGAAATAAGTTTATAGGCAAAGTAAGTACTTAAATTGAGAATTTCAATCTGGGATCATATGTAGTGTCAGGAAATCTGAAAGTTACATTATTCAAACGCTATTCAGTGACATTCCTTTGGTGGTTTCTAGCATTTGAATGTTTGCTGTGGATTACAGTCATTTGTAAGTACATTAACAGAAGAAATGCAAAGAGTGGAGATGAGATTGCTGTTGTAAAATACAGATGAAATCAGAAACTTATCTAAAATCTGACCTTGCAACCCTAAAACCAAAATCAGGGTAAGTGTTACAAAAGGAAATGAATTTGTATGAAAGCAACATATACTCTAATGCCTAACTTAAATGTGCTTTTGGATGTATTTTTAGCAATTCCACTGATGTCAATTCAAATGAAAAAAATTTATTTTACATTTGGAATATCTGTGGTAAAACAGGTAAGACTAAGACTACTAGACAGGGTAATTAATCTTCATGTGTTTAAACTTTCCATTTTAAGAATACTAACTAGGCTGGCACGGTAGTTCACGGCTGTAATCTTAGCACTCTGGGAGGCCGAGGTGGGAGGATTACTTGAGCTCAGGAGTTTGAGACCAGCCTGAGCAAGAGCAAGACCATGTCTTTACTAAAACTAGAAAGAAATTAGCCAAACAACTAAAAACAGAAAAAATTAGCCAGGCATGGTGGCTTGTGCCTGTAGTCCCAGCTACCTGGGAGGCTCAGGCAGGAGGATCGCTTGAGCCCAGTTTGAGGTTGCTGTGAGCTAGGCTGATGCCATGGTACTCTAGCCCAGGCAACACAGTGAGATTCTGTCTCAAAAATAAATATTAAATAAATATTATAAATAATATATTACAAATAATATAATAAATATTAAATAAATATTTAAAAAATATATTAACTTTTAGGCTGGGCATAGTGGCTCATGCCTGTAATCCAGCACTTTGTAAGAGTCGCTTGAGGCCAGGAGTTCGAGACCAGCTTGGGCAACATAGGGAGACCCTATCTCTACAAAAAAACAAAAACATTAGCCAGGCATGGTGGCTAGAGATTTCTATTTTTTATAGCCTTGCATTTTCCCAGGCTAGTCTCCAATTTCCTAGCCTCAAGCAATCCTCCCACCTTGGTCTCCCAAATTGCTAGGATTACAGGTGTGAGCCACCATGCCCAGCCTATATCACTTTTTTATAGCAAACCTCTGAAAACCTTTAGTATAACTCTATCATAGAAAACTGATACGCAGTTTATTATTATAATCACTCATTTTAATTAGAAATGTAAATAAAGTGTTATGAAAATATAGAATAGTATTTAATATCAAGAATTTCTGAGAATTCCTGGGAATTTCTATTTTTTATTCCTAAATCTTGAAAAGGGGCCATAAATTGATAATTTTTTTTTTTTTGATACAGAGTCTCACTTTGTTGCCCAGGCTAGAGTGAGTGCTGTGGCGTCAGCCTAGCTCACAGCAACCTCAAACTCCCGGGCTCAAGCAATCCTCCTGCCTCAGCCTCCCGAGTAGCTGGGGCTACAGGCATGTGCCACCATGCCCGGCTAATTTTTTCTATATATATTAGTTGGCCAATTAATTTCTTTCTATTTATAGTAGAGATGGGTCTTGCTCTTGCTCAGGCTGGTTTCGAACTCCTGACCTTGAGCAATCCGCCCGCCTCAGCCTCCCAGAGTGCTAGCATTACAGGTGTGAGCTACCACACCTGGCCCATAAGTTGATAATTTTTAAAGCTGTTGATAGGCATTTTTGGGGGGGCATACTATTATTTTCTATTGTGGTGCATATTTACATTTTTCCATCACAAAAAGTCAAACAAAACTGGATCATGCTACATTCCTGCCTAGATTCCCTCAATGACTTTCTAGTACTCTTAGAATAAAAGGCAACTTTTTTTTTTTTTTTTTTTGAGACACAGTCTCGCTTTGTTGCCCAGACTAGAGTGAGTGCCATGGTATCAACCTAGCTCACAGCAACCTCAAACTCCTGGGCTCAAGCAATCCTCCTGCCTCCCGAGTACCTGGGACTACAGGCATGCGCCACCATGCCCAGCTAATTTTTTCTATATATATTAGTTGGCCAATTAATTTCTTTCTATTTATAGTAGAGATGGGGTTTCGTTCTTGCTCAGGTTGGTTTTGAACTCCTGACCTTGAGCAATCCACCCTCCTCAGCCTCCCAGAGAGCTAGGATTACAGGCGTGAGCCACCACGCCTGGCCAATTTTAGAATATTTTCATCACCCCCCAAAAGAAACCCTGTACCCATGAGCAGTCATTGTCCATTTCAGCCATATTGGACTTCTGACTTCCAGAATGTGAGGTAATAAAATTATATTGTTTTAATTTTAAGCCACTAAATTTGTGATAATTTGTTATGGCAACAACAGGAAACAAACGGGTGTCTGTTGCTTCTTTGGAGAAATGTCTATTCAAATCTTTTTCAATCGCATTATTTATCTTCTTATTGTTGAGTTATTAGAGTTCTTTATGTATTCTGGATACAGGTCCCTTATCAGATATATGATATGCAAATATATTTTGCGAAAAGTTGTTTTTTCACTTTCTTGGTCATGTCTTTTGAAGAACACAATTGATGAAGTCTGATTTATCTATTTTTGTTGTTGTTTGTGGTTTCGGTGTTGAATCTAAGAAGACTTTCTCTAACCTAAGGTATAAAGATTTATTCCTATGTTTTCTTCTAAATATTTTATAGTTTCTGCTTTTAAATTTAGGTCTATAATCCACTTTAGTTAATTTTTGCATGTGGTGTAAGTGAGGGATCCAACTTTATTCTTGTGCATGTGTATATCCAATTGCCCCAGCACCATTTATTGAAAAAGCTGTTCTTTCCCCATTGAATTGTTTTAGCACCCTTGTTGAAAATCAATTGACCATAAAGGTAACAGTTTATTTCTGGACTCTTTGAGCTGTTCCATTGATCTATATGTCTATCCTTATGCTAGTACCACACAGTCTTGATTACTATAGCCACTTATTATTTTTAAATGAAGTTTTTATTATAAAGACAATATATTATCATTATACAAAAATAGGGGGAAAGGGAAGAAGAAAAAAATTACCAATTATTCTAGACAACTTGTTAATGCATAAGTATATGTTATCCCTTCCTTATTTTTCTGTTTTTGGGTTTTATTTTTTACAGTATCTGAGATTAGATGTACAGTTGGCCCCCCATATCTGTGAGTTTTGCGTCCTTGAATTCAACCAATCACCAGTTGAAAATATTAGAAAAACCAATGAATGGTTTCATCTGTACTGAATACGTACAGATTTTTTATATTAGGTATTATAAGTAGTCTAGAGATGATATAAAGTATACGGAAGGCTGTATGTAGGTTATATACAAGTACTATGCCAATTTATATCAGGGGGGCTTGCACATTGTGGATTTTGATATCTGCGGGGGGTTCTGCAACCAATCCCCCATGGATACCAAGGGAAACTGTATATATAAATATGTATTTTTGCACTTTTTACTTAACATTGAAATAAAAGCATTTTCCCATGGTATTAGAAACTTTACAAAACATCTTTCCTAATGGTTGCATTAGTATTCCACTGTGGGAATATATTGTAATTGATAACCAGTCTCTTATTTTTCTAAAGTTAAGTTACTCCCATTTTTTTCAGTCTTATAAACAATACTGTATCTTTGTGAATATATTTTTGTATATATTTTGGATAATTTTCTCACGATAAATTGACGTGATTGATATGCATTACCAGATGGTTTCCCTAAAAGTCGTATCAATTCACACCACCACTCTCAGGACACAAGGCAGCCACCGCACTGCATGCTTCCTGGCACTGGGTGTTCTTTTTTTCTTCCCCCCCTTTTTAAATTTCTGCAGCTTTTAAGAATAAAAATGGTACCTGGTTTTTAAAATTTGCATTTCTTTTGTTATGAGTGATGCTGGACATTTTCCCACGTGTCTTTTAGCCCAATATATTTCCTCTTTTGTGAACTGTTCAAGTTCATTTATTTTTCAGTTGAGTCCTTGATCAATTCTGACTAATCACTCTGGATTCTGGCTTTCCTGCCACTCCTCAACTCTTAACACATGTGAGTCATTCTCTCAGAACATACATACGGGGCTTTCTGGATAAAGAGGATATTAAAAAATATATAAAGCTGAGCAGAGTGGTGCTCACCTGTAGTCCCAGCTGCTTGGGAGGCCGAGGTGGGAAGATTCCTGGAGCCCAAGAGTTCACGTCCAGCCTGGGTAACATAGTGAGACTCCGTCTCTAAAAAATATGTGTGTGAGAGTGGTGGGGGATATAGACCCCTGGGAAGGGGCTTTTCTTTAGAAAGTAGAGGGATGAATAAATAGGGTAACAGTAAAACTATTCATTTCTGAAAAGGATATTAGCCATCTCTGACCAGCTCCAATAGCCAGAAAAGTTGACAAATGTACATCTTAGGGGGCAAAGCGCTAAGGTCTTGAGAATTTCCATACTTAAAAATTTCTAAGCCGGGCGCGGTGGCTCACGCCTGTAATCCTAGCTCTCTGGGAGGCCAAGGCGGACGGATTGCTTGAGGTCAGGAGTTCGAAACCAGCCTGAGCAAGAGCGAGACCCTGTCGCTACTATAAATAGAAATAAATTAATTGGCCAACTAATATATATAGAAAAAATTAGCCGGGCATGGTGTCGCATGCCTGTAGTCCCAGCTACTCGGGAGGCTGAGGCAGGAGGATTGCTTGAGCCCAGGAGTTTGAGGTTGCTGTGAGCTAGCACACTCACAGCCACAGCACTCACTCCAGAGTGACGTCATGGCACTCACTCTAGCCTGGGCAACGAAGCAAGACTCTGTCTCAAAAAAAAAAAATGTCTAAGTTTGCTATGTCTAACCTTGAACTTATGCTCCTCAGGACTTTGATAAAGATCTAAGTGGTCTTGTATTGGAAAAGACCTCAAGAGAAGGAGGAGGCCACTGCAAAGATTGGTGAGAAGCCATTATCTATTTATGTCCAAGACAGGAAAAAAAAAAAAGACTAAATTTAAAAGTTCTTAAGACAGGTATGGGTTAGATATTAACAAAGACTAGCTAACTTTCAGCAGTCTGAGTCTCCAGAACAGACAATTGTAAAAATCTGTACAATAGCCAAATATTCCAGAAAAGTGTAAAAAAAAAAAATCTGTACAGGTCTCTTCAGTTACTTTGTAGGAAGAAATGGACAATTCCTTGATAATGCCCTGTCTTTACTAGGCGTGTCCTAAGTGAGGATAGGATGGCTAATCTGAATTCCAGCCAGCACATGGAAGGTGATGTAAAGTGAAAACGTATGATCTCACAGGGCCATGTGCCATCACATCATCCAGCTATTTTTGAATAAGACAAGCCTCTCTGCATGCAGGAACTCTGGGCATGGGTGAATCCCGCAAAAGTCAAGTTACAAGGTTGAAGGGGGTGGGGTGAGGGGAAATGCCAGACCGCAACCTGACATTTCCTACTGCTTCCCTGATAGGTCCTTTTCAAAGAAACAAGAACTGAAATGGTATGCAAAGCAGGCAGCTATTTCAGTCTCAATACTGAGCAGGGGGCCATGGAGGGCCATCTGAAACTGAGGGGGAAAAGAAAACCCAACGCAGGGGACTGAGCTGCATGTGATAAAGAACTGAACGGTCCAGGCAGCTCGTCAGTTCCAGGCGTTAGCTATGCTGGGAACTAGGCCGGGAAGCAGAATTTTAGAGCATTTTCTTCTTGGATAGAGTCTGGCAACAGTGATCCTCTCCCCTCAACCCGTGTCCTCTTCTCCAAGATTCCTGCTGTCTCTTTGCCTGCCATAGGACTGTGGGACAGCTGTCTCCTAGCATTGCTTTGCCTTTTACTGCAGCGCTGCCACATCACCCCGTGCCCGGCCCCTCCCCATCCCCGCACAGGGTCATAACAGCCTGCAGGGCTGCCAGGGAGCTGGCATCACCCAGACCCAGACAGCAGGATTGTGCCTGAGGTGGCCAGCCACGTCATGGGTAACCCAGGGTGTTTATGTACCCTACAGCTCAGCAATGCGAGGATCTGCCAACCATCCTCAAGTTTATTCTGCTTTCTTTGGCCTCCAAGAACAGGATAGCCGTCATTAAAACAAATCACAGACAGCTCTGATGGAAAGAATTTTCAGGCTTCCCTCTTGAAGTACCTTTTCTGCCTTTTTCCTGCTAGTTAATTTTCTTCTGTCCCTCATCCCTACTTCTGGAAAGCCCTCCTTTAACCCCTAAAACCTACTCACTCCTGGGTGCTCATTTCTCTCTCCTATGGTCATCAGAAAAGAAGCTTTCATCCAAGGTTCAGCTACCCCCTAGTCAGGGAAGCTGAAGGAGTATTTAAAGAAAGCAAATTAATTTCAATATTAGCTTAATTTACACAAATGTCTTCAGCACCTTGTAGGCACCAAATTTATTTAACGTAATTGATATCAGGTGCAAAAACACACTACATGTCCTTTAGAGCCAAGGAAAATTTAATTTTTAATTTGTATATGCACACATAATTGTTAAAATCTCAGGCTCTCAATTTAGACAGACCTAAGTTTAAATCAGGGCTTAACAATTACTGGTTGTGGCCTTGAACAACTCACTTCACTTGTCTGAACTGCCTTATCTATAGAATGAAGATCTAATAACATGCCCCATAGGACTTTTGACAGGATTAAATGTGGTGGTCTATGTAAACGAGCCCCTTGTTCACACCTGTGAATAGTTAAGTGACAGCAGCATCATTCTGACTGTATATATAGTCTTTTGTATGTTCTCTCTGTTTTTTAAAAAATTTTGAAATATTAAGGGGGTACAAATGTTTTTGTTGCATGAATACACTGTATAATGCTGGAGTCAGGGCTTTCCGTGTGCCCATCACCTGGACATGTTCATTGTACCCGAAAGGTAAGTTTTTCTCTCTCTGCCTCTGCTTTTTGACCATGATCTCTATGAGGGCAGTGCCAGGCTGACCATCTGAGGGAGTGAAGTTGTCCAACTGACTGATCCTACAGCCACAATCCCAAGAGAGCTCAGATATAGTCTTATGATACTTGGGGTAGACTCAGGAGAAGGGCCTGGATCACTGAATTTCAGATACAGGATTGAGATCTGCATAATGAACCAACCATACCACATCAGGCCATGATACATAGTTGCCAAGTTTTAGGAAACTCATTTATTTATTTATTCATTCATTTGCCCAACATTCATTGAACATCGATTATATCTGAGGCTACAATGTTGAAAAATATACAAGGGCCATTTCCCTGTAAGCTTACAGTTTAATTGTTTAACCTAAAGAAATAATAAGGCATTTTAATACATATTCATTGGAAAACATTTCCATTCAACATTGTGTTTTATTAAAACAAAATTAGAACCCCCAAAGCTCAGCTCTTGAAAGAGAATATCCAGATAGGAAGAACTGGCTAGCCAAAGAGTCCTGAATCTGTCCCAGTTTCCCCCTCCCTCAGGGTTCCTGTGTTTTTGCTGTTCCCTCTCTAACCCTCTGGCCCAAGCATAGATTTTAAAACTTTTGTTTGTTGATTAAATGGGTTGGAGCCCTCAACAAAATATAAGGGAAAAAGAAATAACATTTTTCTCTTCTTTTTGAGACAGAGTCTTGCTTTGTTGCCCAGGCTAGAGTGAGTGCTGTGGCGTCAGCCTAGCTCACAGCAACCTCAAACTCATGGGCTCAAGCAATCCTGCTGCTTCAGCCTCCCAAGTAGCTGGGACTACAGGCATGCACCACCATGCCCAGCTAATTTTTTCTATATATATTAGTTGGCCAATTAATTTCTTTCTATTTATAGTAGAGACAGGGTCTCGCTCTTGCTCAGGCTGGTTTCGAATTCCTGACCTCGAGCAATCCACACGACTTGGCCTCCCAGAGTGCTTGGGTTACAGGCAGGAGCCACCGTGCCCGGCCATTTTTTATTCTTAGTAATATACCCAATGTGTATTTTTGGGTAGATTTGTTCACTATAATCATGTTTTATAATGTTAATAGCAGTACTGTTTGTAATAGTCAAATATTGGAAACAACCTAAACGTCCATGTGCAGTAGAATGGATAGAGTATCTTTACACAGTGGAATACTACATAGCACAAGAATGAACAAACTACAACTACATGCAACAAATGGGTGACTCTCACCAAGGTAATGTTGAGTGAAGGAAACTAGACACAAAAGAGGATATGCTGTATGATTCTATTAATGTTTATCTAAACTTCTAAAACAGTCAAAACTAATCTATGGTGTTTGAAGTCAAAACAGTGATTGTCATTGGCGCTAGTGACTGAAGAGGAATACAAGGACTCCTAAGGGGTCAGTAATGTTCTGTTTCTTTGATTCAGGTGCTGGTTACATGGGGGAAATTTTATTGAGCAATTCACATATGATTTGTGCACTTTTCTATATGTATAACCATTTCAATAAAAAGTTTTTTAGGAAATAATGTAAAACAATCTGATTTCCTTCCTGAGAGTTCTATAGCTATCTCATTTATGAGCTTGGTTTGAATGATCTATAGCCCACCGTCAGAGACTGTACAAATTCTCAACATTTTGCACATGTTCCTGTATTCTCAGAACCTTAAATACATACTGGGAGCAGGTATGGTCCTATTTCCCACCATGCAAGAGCTGATGTTTAGACAGATCTGTCTCCTTGGTGACCTAGCTCACTATCTCCCTGGGTCTTCCAATCAGTTCTCCCCAAAGAGTGATTTTCCAGTCCCTGGAAGATTGGTAGATCTATGGTGAATATTTATACCCAGTGAATAGGCATATCTTTTGAGTACAATCCCAGCCCATATATCTAAGAGTGGCTATGTTCTCAATATAAACCAAATGATAAAATAATACTTCAACAAAAGAATAATTTTTGCATTCGTACCATAAGTTCTCCCCCTTTTACAATATAAGCTCCACGAGAGCAGGGATTTTATCTTATTCATTGCTTTATTTCACTTATGGTTGCCATAGAACATCTAGGACACACAGCACTCAGAACAGTCCCTGGCACATAATAGGCACTCAATAGAAATATCCTGAATGAAATAATTATATTCAAAGAGAAGCAGCATGTGTGTTCTAGAATCAGACAGCTTTGGTTCAAATCCCAACTCTGCCACTTGCTAGCTATGAGACTTTGCACAAGTTATAATATTTAATCTACCCGTGCCTCAGTTTCCTCATCTGTAAAATGGAGATACTACTAATATCTTCCTCTTAGGGTTACTATGAGATTTGAAGAACACTTATAAAGATAATGTATGGAATTGTTTGGTGACCACTATACCAAAAGAAGACTTGCCCTATCTCTTAGAAACACAGTCAAATAGAAATCTTCTGACCATCTGTGTGATATACAACAGAACAAATAGTTTTGTTTTGTTTTTTTTGAGACAGAGTCTCACTCTGTCACCTGGGCTAGAGTGCCGTGGCATCAGGCTAGCTCTCAACAACCTTAAACTCCTGGGCTCAAGCAAGCCTCCTGCCTCAGTCTCCCAAGTATAATAGCTGGGACTACAGGTGTGCAACACCACGCCCAGCTAATTTTTTCAATTCTAGTAGAGATGGGGTCTCATTGTTGCTCAGGCTGGTCTTGAACTCCTGAGCTCAAGTGATCCTCTTGCCTTGGTCACCAAGAGTGCTAGGATTATAAGTGTGCTCCACCAAGCCTGGCCAAGAATAGATTTTCAATAAACGGCCCAGAGAAATTGAACATTCATAGGCAAAAAAAAAAAAAAAAAGGAACCTTGACCTAAACCTCAGATCTTACAGAAAAATTAATTCAACATGGATTATAGGGCCAGGCTCAGTGGCTAACCCCTGTAATCCTAGCACTCTGGGAGGCTGAGACAGGTGGATCGTTTGAACTCAGGAGTTTGAGACCAGCCTGAGCAAGAGCGGGACTCTATCTCTACTAAAAATAGAAAGAAATTACTTGGACAGCTACAAATACATAGAAAAAATTATCTGGGCACAGTGGCGCATGCCTGTAGTCCAGCTACTTGGAGGCTGAGGCAAAAGGATCGCTTGGCCCGGGATTTGAGGTTGCTGTGAGCTAGATATGCGACACACCTCTAGCCGGCACAGAGTGAGACTCTGTCTCAAAAAAAAAAAAAAAAATATATATATACCTCATATATATATACGTAACTATTCCAATGTCAATTTTATGGTCTTCATAATGTACCACAGCTATTTGAGATGTCACCATTAGGAGAAGCTGTGAAGTAGGGCAAGTAGGACTCTGTGTACTACCATTCCTTCAACTTCCTGTGAGTTGATAATTATTTCAAAATTAAAAATTTTTTAAATACAAAACACTTCACAACAAGCGATACATAGTAAGTGCTCAGTAAACATTAGCCATCATTCTTTTTTTAATTATTGTCATTATTATCATAACAGGAGAATTATTCAGTCACACTCTACCTGGCATAGAGTAGGCTATCCACAAATACGTATTCAATAAACCAGTGAATCAATGATAGGTCCAGGGAAAAGATAGAATAGTGATATATTTAAAATCTATCACATAGGCTGGGTGTGGTGGCTCACACCTGTTATCCTAGCAGTCAGGAGGCCGAGGCAGGAGGATCACTTGAGGTCAGGAGTTCAAGACCAGCCTCAGCAAGAGCAAGACCCTGTCTCTACTAAAAAAAAAAAAAAAAAATAGAAAGAATTACCTGATAACTAAAATAGAAAAAAATTTAGCCAGGCAGGGTCACACCGTAAGTCCAGCTACTCGGGAGGCTGGGGCAGGAAGATCACTTGAGCCCAGGAGTTAGTTTGAGGTTGCTGTGAGCTAGGCTGACGCCACAGCACTCACTCTAGCCTGGGCAACTGTGTCTCAAAAAAAAAAATTGATCACATAGGAAGCAGCCTTCATGGAACTTCCATTCTCATGGAGAAAACAGACATGTTAACAACTAAACATAAGGCCTCATGGAGGTGGGTGGCTTTGAGCTGTGGCTTTGAGGGTGAGTAGATGGAGAAGGATGAAGACTATAATGGGAGATGAGAATATGAAGACAGACTGAGGAGACTTCTGAATGCAATTAAGGAGTGTGGTCCCTCATGCCGCAGGCAATGGAGTACAGTTAAAGAATCGAATCATACGACACCAGTGGCAGTGTGAAGGATGGATGGCTACAGAAAGGGAGCAGGCCAAGTGAAAATATATGGCCCCTATTAGAAGATTGCAGTTTAATTCTGAGTTGATATGGGTGTATTTATAGTATCACGTCAACAGTAACATGACTATGACTACCTTTTCTCTGGTCTACATAGATTTTCTAGAGGAAGTAAATCCTGACCTCTTACAAGAATGGAATAAAGAAGATAAAGAAGGCCGGGCGAGGTGGCTCACGCCTGTAATCCTAGCACTCTGGGAGGCCGAGGCAGCAGATTGCTTGAGGTCAGGAGTTCAAAACCAGTCTGAACAAGAGCGAGACCCCGTCTCTACTGTAAATAGGAATAAATTAATTGGCCAACTAATAAATATAGAAAAAATTAGCCGGGCATGGTGGTGCATGCCTGTAGTCCCAGCTACTCTGGAGGCTGAGGCAGAAGGATTGCTTGAGCCCAGGAGTTTGAGGTTGCTGTGAGCTAGGCTGACGACGTGGCACTGACTCTAGCACTGACAAAGCAAGACTCTGTCTCAAAAAAAAAGAAGAAGAAAAGAAAAGTGAATGCTCCATGTTGACTTATATTTGTTGTCTAGAAATCCAAGACCAGGGGAAATGAAGTCATTGTACAGGTTCCTTCCTTCAGAAATAGTTCTTAACTTCCCCAGAAAAATAGGTGTCTTGCAGATGAAGAAAAAAAAGATTTCAGGTATGAAATCTAAAAACCAGTGATTTCTATAAAGATTAATTCAAAGAAACTGCAACTAACTCTCCTAAGTCCAGTTAAGGGTGTTGTGATTTGAGGATTTACACATCTCTTTATTTCTCCTCCTGGCCTATGTCCTGTTTCTAAGGTACTTTGGTTGCTATGGAAACAAACAAGTACAACTAGTTTCCTCTAGTTGGACTGCCGAATTCCACCCTTAGCTCTGACCATCTGGTTTCTCTCTTGTGGCCACTCCCCTCTATGCTCCAGTTAGCCTTTGCCTCTTTTCCACTAAACTGCCTACTCCCCCAGTTTCTCTCTCCCAGTCTCCCTCTCCTGGTGTAGGTGCACTCTTTTTTCTCTTCTTTTTTTTTTTTTTTTGGACAGAGTCTTTCTGTTGCTGCCTGTGGTAGAGTGCCATCTGGTCAGTCTACGCTCATAGCAACCTATCTCAACAACTCCTGGGGCTCAAAGAAATCCTCTCTGCTCTCAGCCCTCCCGAGTAGCTGGGGATACAGGGCATGTGCCCACATGCCCGGCTCTCAATTTTCTCCTCACATATTGTTAGTGGCCCAATCTAATTTCTTTCAATTTTTAGTGAGATGGGGGTCATGCTTTTGCTCAGGCTGGGTTTCGGAACTACCCTGACCGCTGAGCTATCCCCTCGCCACAGCTCCCAGAAGTGTATGGATTACAGGATTGTGAGCCGCTGTACCTCGGTTTAGGTGCACTTCTTTTTTTTTTTTTTTTCTTTGTCCCGTTTTTTTTGAGACAGAGGTCTCGCTTTGGTTGCCAGGCAGAGAGTGATGCCGGTGGGCGTCAGCCCTAGCCGTACGAGCAACCTCAGAACTCTGGGGGAGCAATCCTCCTGCGCTGGAGCCTCCCGCAGTAGCGGGAACTACAGGCATGCGCCACCATTCCTGGCTAATTTTGTTGATATATATATTAGTTGGCGCAATTAATTTCTTTCGTATTGTATAGTAGAGACGGGGTCTTGCTCGGTTGCTCAGGACTGGTTTCGAGACTCGCTGACCTCTGAGCAATCCGCCGCTCGAGGCCTCCCCAGAAGGTGTTCTAGGGTTACAGGGCAGTGAGCCCCCCCCCGCGCCAGGCCAATTTATGATTTCTGGTGTGCAAGACTAATCTGCTTCACACAGTGGAATTAACTGCGAAGACTCAGGTTTTTTATGAGGTATATTCATTGGTCATTGGAATTAGGAATACCTTGGGGTATTATCATTTTGTTTCCTATTATAATAAATAGCTGTCTAAAAATAGTAATCAGTTTTTTTATGAGTAGGGATATAAACAGCACAGAGCATCAAGGAAGTAGTGAAATGTATACAAATTGGTACAAAATGTTGATCCAAAACAATGAGTGACCCAGGTAAAATTAAGCAGCACAAATACAAAGGGAATGGATTGGGGGAGCAATCAAAGTCTGGAGAGTTCATAAGTGAACAATGTATTAACTACTCTTTCGTTTTCCTTCTCCTTCTTCCCTCTCTTTTCTTCTTCCTACTATAGCTGTGACTTGGGGAAGGACGTGATCACACACACTGCATGAAGCATGGTGACACTCTTAATGGGATGCGACACAGATCAACTGGGGAGATTTGACTCTCTGAAGAGGAGTTCCTGAAAAGTCCTGAAGCAACAGGTGGACCTGAAGTCAGAGCTGTTTGCAAGATGGAAAAGAGGGTGAAACATTTCGGCTCTGGAACAAGCACTGGCAGCGTGAAAATGCACGAAGTGAGCACCTGCTTATGCTGTTCGCTGCCGGGAGCAAGTTCCAGCAACACACCCCCTACTAATGAGGAAACTGCAAAAGAGAACTCAAGACATTAAACACAGATCTACAGTGAAGGATGTGTTTACATCCTATATGTGAGTGGAGTGAGTATATTTTTAGGGTAGCAAGTTCTGGCCAAGCAAGCTTAACATGAAAACATGAGAATTACTCTGCTTCAAGAGACCCACCCAATTCAATATTCTGTCTTTGAGAGTGGAACTGAAAATATAATTACTATGTAGTGCTTAATGTGTAAATGACCAATTTAGTTCCCCTTATATGCTGTCCTGTAATAAATCTATGCTCCACTAGGACAGGGTCCCTGTTAAATCACCAGCTACCTGGGAACTCTGGGCAAGTCATTCTGGATAGACACGTAGACAAGGATGACTTCCCTAGGCACTCATTTTTAATGTATAAAACTTTTCTAAATAGATAACAGTCATAATGATGGTGTATAATAAAGTTCGTGGAACCATGTATATCCGTACACTAAATGTCCCAGAATGCTGTACTTCTAATGTTTTTATGTGAGATTTTATAGTTTTTTCCTGCCACTTCTCTTGGCTCTGAGGGTACAGCTTACTTATTACAGACTTTCTTCTAATTCAGTTTCTAATCAGACACAGGCAGATGACAATTGTTACATTGGCACTACACTTCGCCAGTTATAAAGTGCTCATCTGACTTAGGGCTGGGAATTGGACCCTAGCCAATCAGAACATTCCATTTCCCTTACCAGGGATTGGTTCTGAGACAGACACATGACCCAAGCTGGGCCTGTTAGAATCCACCCTGGGATTTTTGTCAGAGTGATCAGGAAGCAGTTCTCTTGAAGTTATCTTAATGTAATAAAACACAGACACTCCTGAGCTACCAGAGTTCCTTCTGCTGCCACAGAAAGAGTCTAACACACAGCAACACAGCTGAGAGATAGAGCTTGTCAACATCATTTGAATACCTGAGTCCTGGACTTTTCAGTTTGTATGAACTCCCCCCCACCACCACACAGATCAACCTTTTGTTTATATATTTTTTTGTTTAAACTAGTCTGGGTTGAGTTTCTGTCATTTCTTGTGACTCCTGGTGCAGAGCTGTCTCTGCGTTCCCCTCACCTCATTCTGGAAATTCCCATTACCTCTCTCTCCTGTTGCATCTCCTCATCCCATGTTTTCCTCCTTCTCAGTTTACTTCTGCATTTTGCTGAAATATATCCCTCAGTAGCTTGTGAGTAAACTATAGAAGGGAAACAAATTTCTGGAGACTGTGTGACCTAACAGTACATTTGCTTTCATACTTCCTTGAAAGTTTGGCTATATTTGGTAGTATAGAATTTTCCCTCAAAAAAATAAAAGGTAGGTAGTATAGAATTTTCCCTCAAAAAAATAAAAATAAAAAATAGAATTTTCCCTCAGAATTGCCAAGGCATCCCTGCCTTGTCTTCTGGCATCCAATGTGGCTGTTAACAAGCCTGGAGTCATTTTGATTGCTAAGATTTTCTATGTGGAGCCTGTTTTCGTTTAGTTTAGATTTTTCCTTTCTGGGACCTATTCTGCAGTTTATCCCTGAATTTCTGATATTGCTTGATGATGGCCTTGCTGTGGGTCTGTTTTCACTCAGTGCACTGGCACTAGACAGGATGTTTCAATCTACAAATTCATGGCCTCCAATTCTGGGGAATGTTCTTTAATTATTCATTTGGTGATTTTCTTTCCTCTGATTGCTCAGTTCTCTGTCTTTTGAGCACCTGTTAATTAGATGGTGGGTCTCTGGGTCCAATCTAATTATGTTGGAGGCTATTTTGAGTGTTTTCTCCCTCTCTTTACTGTCTTTGTCTTTTATATCTGTAGGAGTTCCTCAATTTTATTTTGCAAATTTTCTTTTCTTTCTTTTTTTTTTTTTTCCTTTTCTTTTTTTCTGAGGCAGGATCTCTGTTGCCCAGGCTGGAGAGCAGTGGCATCATCATAGTTCACTGCAGCCTCAAACTTCTGGGCTCAAACTCCTAGACTCAAGAGATCTTCCCACCACAGTCTCCTGAGTAGCTAGGACTGCAGGTGTACACTACCACACACAGGTAATTTTTAAAATTTTTTGTAGAGGCGAGGTCTTGCTATGTTGCTCAGGTGGGTCTTGAACTCCTGGCCTCAAGTGATCCTCTCGCCTTGCCTCAGCCTTGCCTCGCCTTGCCCAAAGTGCTTGGATTATAGGCATAATAATCCCTTGATTACTTTTTTTACAGGCCAGTTATTTTGTACCTTGATTTGCATTTCCTCATGTTTGAATTCAGGTCATGGATTTTTTGACAGGAATATTACAGAAATAATGATGTGGTTTTTTTGCCTCCTATTGGGTGGTACCTGATTTCAATGTTTCCCATTAATTAGAATTATTCAGAATGTTAATTTTGACCACTAAGTTAAGGTGATGTCTGCTATGTTTTCCCACTGTAAAGTTACTCTTTTGCCCTTTGTAATCAAGTAAGCATTTTGTGGAAAGGTATTTTGAGGCTATATACATATCTGTTCCTCATCAAATTTGCTCACCATTTTTAGGTGTTTTTTTTTTTTTGCTGAATGAATTATTATTATGATAGTTGCCTAATAGTGATTTTTCAGTTTCATTATTCTTTCTAAATTTATTAGTTGTCATTCTACTGTAAAGAAAAATTTTCTCATTTATTTATTTATTCATTTATTTATATCAATATGGACATGTGGATTCCTATTTCATTTTATGGATTATAACCTTTTACTATTAAACTTTTTATTTATTTTGATGCTCACATTTGGTTAGGGGAAGCCCCCGTCAAGCCCCTTCTATATCCTGGTGACATGTCCTCATCATTCTTTAAGCATTTCTTTACTTTCTGCCATAGCAGGATGGTCCAAGTTCATTCTGTGCCTTCCTTATCTCAGCCCTGAAATCATTCATTTCTCCAAGGACTCTTGGTTTCTTTTAGTGGAGAATGGTATTTAGAGACCAAGGTCTGGACACAAGGGATGTTAACTGCTATTGGAGTGTAACTGTTTCCAAGTTCTCTCAGTGGCTAAAGCTAGGGAGTATGTGTATGTGTATACATTTGTACATGCATACACACGCATCTATATTTCTCTACCTACCCAATACCACAGCTTTTTTCCCCCTTCCACATCTGTAATTTTGTGGGTTTTTTTTTTCTTCTCTCTTTTTTTTTTTATTTTTTTTTATTTTTGTTCTCAAATCTCAGTGCTATTGTGGGTTTTTTTGAGACAGAGTCTCACTCTTTTGCCCACACTAGAGTGCCATGGTGTCAGCCTAGCTCACAGCAACCTCAAACTCCTGGGCTCAAGCAATCCTTCTGCCTCAGTCTCCCGAGTAGCTGGGACTATAGGCATGCGCCACCATGCTCGGCTAATTTTTGCTATATATTTTTAGTTGGCCAATTAATTTCTTTCTATTTTTAGTAGAGACAGGGTCTTGTTCTTGCTCAGGCTGGTCTTGAACTCCGGACCTTGAGCCATCTGCCTGCCTCAACCTCCCAGAGTGCTAGGGTTTTCAGGCGTGAGCTACCACGCCCGGCCTGTAATCTTTTTCTTATTCAATGAGAAACCTCACTGAATTGTCCTCAATATATGTACTTATTTGCTCAACTCTTCTGTATATAACCAATCTCCTGTTTTGGTTATTTCAAACTGGTGCTATATTGATGACTGACTCACCTTATTGGGCTCTAAAAGCCCACTTGCCAACACTTGCTCCCCACCTTCCCAGGTACTCTTGTCATTCTGTTGGGTATCTGTGACCTGTTCTGGGCCACTGTAACATACAGTCCTCTCCCTCCCCAAGGATGCCACCTTCCTTCCACGTGGGTTCCAACATTCCATGTGAGCTGTGCAGATGACTCCTCAGTCTGCTCAGACTCTGATCTTCTAAGCTAGGTGACTGCCACTGTCCCTGGACAGATACCTCCTTCCTCTGCTCAGGCTCTGGCTACTGCTACCCACCTCCCGTGCCTGGATGCCCTCTTCTGACTCACTCAGGCTCCAACATCCTATTCCTGGCTGTCACTGTCACCATCATCCCTCCCCCCACCCCACAGAAGCCCTTCTCACCCTGCTCAGGCTCTGATATTCCCCACCAACCTCACATACATATCCACCTAATGGCTTTCAGACCAAATTAGTAAAGAGGAAGGGAAGGGAAGAAGGAAGACAGGAAGTAGGTTTTTGCCTAGTTCACTTTTTTGTTTTTTGTTTTTTTTAATGAGCCAGGGTCACTCGGGCCAGAGTGCAGTGGTGTCCTCATAGCTCACTGCAGCCTCAAACTTCTGGGCTCAAGCAATCCTTCTGCATCAGCTTCCTGAGTAGCTGGGGCTACAGGCATGCACCCATGCCCGGCTAGTTTTTCTATTTTTAGTAGAGATGGAGTCTCACTCTTGCTAAGGCTGGTCTTGAACTCCTGGCCTCAAGCAATCTTCTCGATTAGGCCAAAGTGCTAGGATTATAGGCGTGAGCCATCTTGCCTGGGCCCTAATTCATTTCCTTTAAGTACCTTTTATCTGTTTGTGTTGGTATCCTCTTCATATAAAAGGATTTCTTGGGATATCTAGTCATTCTTGGCTCTCTGAAGGGGGTGAGAGGGAGAGAGGGGCTGCTTATCTTTTGGGGACTTTACTGACCTGGCTGGGCTGTTTCATTGAGGGACATCCAAGGGCAATATCTTTAGGTCTTGTCTGTTGTACCTGCTCCAGAAACTGGGGCTTCCTGCTTTCTGCTGGGATGAGGGCCGAGGGAGGATCTGCTTGGAGCCCAGTGAGGGGGTTTGGGGGCCCAACTGCATATTAAGCAGACTTTCAACCAATCTCCTATTTGTTGTTCCATCTTACCTCAACTTCTAGAGGTACCTGTGCCTTAGTTCTGTGGTGAAAACCAGGTTGCTTCTTGGATTTCTGTGTTTTTTCTTGAGTCAGGGTCTCATTCTATCGCCCAACCTAGAATGCAGTGGCCTCATCATAGATCACTGCAACCTCAAACTCCTGGGCTCAAGTGATCCTCCTGCCTCAGTGTCCCCAGTAGCTGGGACTACAGGTGCATGCCACCATGATCAGCTAATTTTTCCTATTTTTATTTTTTTATTTTTATGTGTTTTTTTTTGAGACAGAGCCTCGCTTTGTTGCCCAGGCTAGAGTAAGTGCCGTGGCATCAGCCTAGCTCACAGCAACCTCTAACTTCTGGGCTCAAGCAATCCTCCTGCCTCAGCCTCCCGAGTAGCTGGGACTAGAGGCATGTGCCACCAAGCCCGGCTAATTTTTCTATATATATTAGTTGGCCAATTAATTTCTTTCATTTTATAGTAGAGACGGGGTCTGGCTCTTGCTCAGGCTGGTTTCGAACTCCTGAGCTCAAGCAATCCACGCCCGCTTCAGCCTCCCAGAGAGCTAGGATTACAGGCGTGAGCCACCGAGCCCGGCCAGATTTTTCCTATTTTTAGTAGAGACGGGATCTTAGGATCCTGGGATTATTGTTCAGGCTAATCTTCAATTTCTGACCTCAAGCGATCCTCCTCCCTTGGCCTCCCCAAATGCTAGGATTACAGGCGTGAGCGAACTCGCAGGCTACTTCTTGGATTTCTGTCAGTTGA